GAAATAAAGCATTAATTTTTTGGAGATGGATATAAAATTGAATAAAATTCATGATTTTAATACAAATTTATTTTAAATAATAAATTGCCAATTGAAATAATCAATATACCTTGGCTAATTATTCTAATTCTATCATAGTTGTAAGCCAAATTGTTATTTTCTGAAACAACTAAAATTATTAGAAATTATAGCAATAAAGAATGTAAAATTTCCACCTTCACATGATTTAAATTTTTTTTTTTTTAGAACTATCCAAAATCAGGCAGTATCATTACCTGTTTAAAATATTAATAGAAGGATTTCTAAAATAAACATGCGTCTGATAGTAAACTAACTGAGATTAATTGTACTCGAACTTCATTTCACTAACGAGTGGACAATCTGAAAATTAATATTTTCGAAAGAAATAAATTTCAAACAGCAGCTCATTTTGATTATAATTTCATTTTACTTAAAACACCTAGATTGATTAAGGTAATATGCGAATCAATCAAATTAAAAAATTTGTGAAATTCATAAAACCATACTTTTTAATCTTTTCTCAATGAATTTTAATTAGGATAGGATATTGTCTTTCTTAAAAAATTCGAAAATAATTAAAGATTTGTGGCTTAACTTTTCGACAAACAAAACTCAGAACACAAGGCTATTTTACCTAAAATAGAAATCCTATCAATTTACTTTATGCTTAACATTTATTATCCTTTGTTAATGAGAGCTATTAGCTTACATACTTAGATGTACTTATTCTCACAAGAGCTGCCATCCAAAATGTTGGTAAATGTTAGAGAAAAGAGAATGTCGAAGAATTATTCAAACATGAAATCACCTCAATATTATTGGAGCCATTGGATAAGATGGTTTTGCATGCTTGCAAGTTTGTAGCTGTGGTTTAATCAGTAAAGCTGTCATTTTTATAAGAATACGAAATTGTAGTAATTATTGATAACAGTCCAATTCATCACAGTAAATTTATATGAGAAGTTTTTTAAATTAGATTAATAGTTTATATTTCCTCTTTACACCTAAGTAATAAGGATTGAAAGAATTAGGAATATGTTGAAATAATAGATTGATAAAAAGTAACCAATGAATGAGTTTAATTTATAGAGAGAATTCCATGTATGCTTAAAATGCATTCGTAAATTAACTATTGATAATTTTATCAAAAATGCATGGAGTTAAATATAATAAAAAATTGAATAAAGAAATTTTTGATTGATTATTATTCCTATAAAATTTAACAAAACCTCAACCCTTTTTTCTAGTAATCAATCTTTCTGATATATTGAATACTTTTGGATTTTAAGTAAGGAAGAAGAGAAAAATTTTGAAATAGACATTTAAGGAAATTCTATTCTCAAACAAAAAGATGAAGAAATTATATAGTACTTCTATAATTCAATTAATTTATGGATTTAATGATATTTATGAAGATTAAATATATTACTACACCTTTTGTATCAATGGAGTTTTACATTTAGTCCTAATAAAATCAGCTAAATTTCATGCAATTATAATTACTATGTTGTTTTTGAGCTTGTCCCTAAGACTTAGATAAATTATAATTGTAGATATCTTTTACATTTGAAAACTTATTTATTCCTATATGAATAAAATAATTCTAATGATTTTGGATCCAAAAAACAATACAGTTATAACCAAATTGGCTTTTCATAAAAACAATCTCTAATTTACGAATTATTTTCAGAACAATTGTCCTGTAAATTTATTCGAAATGCATTTTTAATTATTTATTGAATTCTTTTGGAACTTTAGAATTTATTATTACATTCACTAATTAACCTTAGATTGATAGAGAAATTACAATTTTAATTTATTTCAAACAATAAACAATAGAATATTTTTTGGAGATTAGCGCCATTAATAAACTATTCCATAAGATATTTTTCTGATGATATAATATTTTGTTATTGATCATTAATAGTCATATAAATCAAGAATATATAGTGTTAAGGCTATAGTAATCACTCTGCTCAATTGGAATTTCATTTTCAATACTTTCCAATCTCTCATGCTTTCTTTGATTAAGAGACAAAATATTAACATCTAAATTATTTAATAAGACCTATTCTGTTTTTCTTGAAGTGGATTTTGGTGTAGACTCTATTTCTTGAGTCTGTTGGTAAATAGAACTTAAACTAATTCCAATTGAGTGACATCGATCTATTTCCTCTCTTACCTTTATTGATCTTATTAAAAAATATAGCCTCGATATTTCATAGAGTATGTTTATAAGTGTCATTTTCAATTCCATTTAACTTTTAATGTGTCTGTAAAAGTGTTAAAATTCTTTAGGATCAATATGCTCATTTTTTAATTAAACTCTAATGATCTGCTATTTCCAATTTTTCAAGATTTTGATATTTTAGAATTGAGGGTAATAAAATGAAATTAGATTATTTATAACCTATTAATGCAAAAAATAGGAGTTTAATTAGGTTATTAAAATTCTAACCATAAATAATACTGACACTATTGACCCTATATTTGCCAAAATATCTGCAATGTTGGGGTATTCTAATATTGTTTTATACTGATTCCCTCTCATCTCAATATAGATTACAGAATAGGTCTCATAACCAAATGCTTACCTACAATAAGGTACAGAATTAGTTTGAGATTGGATTTAGACTCCATTAACAAATTCATAATGATGTGGTTCTCCAAAAAGAAACTAATCTCTCACTTCATAATTTGTCGTCTGAAGATATGTATTCAAGGTATAGCAGTTTTCTTATTCAATTTAAATTAAAAATTCTTAAACACTTTATTCTATTGACGAGTTTTTTGAGTTTAATTAATTGTAATGAATTTGCATTACTATCGTATTTAATGGTTATTTAAAGAAATCATCTATTATTTATTGAGGTGCGCACTTTTCATTTTCATTCAATAGTTCCTCTGAACATTTCACAAAGTAAATATACATCTCTGAAGTTGTCATTAAAGAACCATTTATTTAAGAAAATCCAAGTTTCATTTAAGGTATCAGAAATTAATTTCCATTGTAACTGGTTTCATTCGAAAATTTGAGTACCTCAGTCTCAACAACAACATAATTCTCTGTGTAACTAATTAGAGGAATTAATATTTTGCTCTCAAAAGGATCAATTTTATCATTATGGTCTTTCCAATAATTAATTTTTATAATTCCATAATTCTAATCTAGTAATGAGAAATCGGATGCATAAAGAAATGTGGATACTTTAGGATTTAATTAATAAGTATTCCACTTATAGAATTCCCAAATTGCATAGGCTAAGCTTGATGAAAAAATCAATAGCGACACTACTCCTCCAAATATACTTTTATATATTTAAGCATTCTGATCTACTCTTTAAAACAGTGGTGCTCCAAACACATCCATTTATTTTAAGAAATTGAAAATTTTCATATTAATTTATTTTTTTCGAAAAATAATAATTGATGTATATAACTGAATTCTTTTCTTACTGACCCTAAACAACCTCAAATTAAGGTAAGTAATCTAGATTATATCTAACATTAGAAAATGCAAATTATAATGATAGCTTAATATTTAATTCATAAAAAATAAAAAAATTTAATTCTAAATAATAAACAATCTTTTATACTCCATTATTTTTCAAAGTAAATTTTTACTATTTTTGCTAGTCAGGATAAAACAC